AGTGTAAAACATCAACCAATGGGCTTTTGCTTTGAACCAAACCATCTTAATTGCAGGGCTAAATCAAAGCAGTACATCAAAGTTGCTGAATCTGTAGAGGAACCAATTGTGCAGGTAGCCTGCACTTAAAGATAGTTTTGTCAATAAGTGAAAAAAGAATTAAAAATGAACATATAGAAAATACTTTTTTAAAAAAATGACATGTGGGGACCCAGCAAAAATTGGTGTGGGAGTGCAGTACAAAATATTGGCAACTTTTTTGGGGGGGTTGCCATCCTTCAGTCTCAAGAGACTATGGTAATGTGCTCCGAATAGAGATCTTGGAACAGCGTCTAGTGTGGCTGAGAAGGCCAATACAAGAGTGACAATCCCTTCCACACTGAAGACAAATACAGTCTGTCTCCTGTCCAGCTCCCTGATTTTGCTGGTTTCGGGTTAGGGTTAGGGTTAGGTTAGGGTTAGGGTTAGATTTTGCCTCTTTGCCTCAGCCTGCTGAACAAGTGTCTCTTCAATTTGGCAACATAAACAAAGGCAAAATAGTTACAACTAAGGCTGCAAGTACACTAGAAAATATGGTTTGTTTCACAGTCTATACTACATTTGAAATGGCAATCAGTGCTCGCACAGGGGCAGCAGATTAATTAGAGTTCACTGTTCATACTGAATGGGATACAATTCGCATTTCAGCCCACAGCCCTTCTGTCTTTCCTTCCTTCCTCTGACCTTGCCTCTGCTGATCCCTCCTTCCTCTGGTCCCACCTCTATCAGTCTGATAGAGAACTGACAAAGGCATAAATATGGAAAATGATGATGATGACCCAGCGAGAACGCTCATGCTAGGTCTCAGCAATGATGAGTATGAATCAAATATGGAATTTATTTATTTATATCCCGCCTATCTGGTCAATTACGACCACTCTAGGCGGAAGAGAGGAAAGAATTAAAAGGCATGTTCCCTTGGTCCTGATCATCATGCCCTAACTGACTACATCACCAAAAACACCATCTACAGACAACAACCGCCATCTTTACAATGTATCACGACTAACCACATGGGGGAAAACAGTTCAAAACATTTGAGATAGAAAAAGTAGAAGTCTCCCAGCAGCAAAATAATAATCATAATAAAAAATACGCACACAGTTTGCTTTGATTCCACAAGGCAACTCAACAAAGAATCTTCAAGCCTTGCAGGATTTATAATTAATATTCATAAAACAATAATTTTATCCCCATGGAGGATTCAGGGAGCACTATTGTTAATTTTTGTTGCCCCATTTAAAAATATTTATGAGAAAGCTTTAAAGGAGAGGTACAAGATGCCCTCATATTTTGTCCAACCCTGTTGTAAGGTGACTTTATTGGACAGATCCTATCCTCAGATTTCCTGATATAGAGCAGCATAGAAATTCTTAAATAAATGAAGAGATGCAATCTACACCTTCTACTGAATTTGTTTATTATTTTATTATTTATCTAGTTGTTACACTGATATCCTGCTTTTCTTTCAGTATGCTTAAGGCAGCCTACATGGCTCTCTTCTTCCCCATTTCATTTCTACTGCAATCTTGGGGACGAAATCAGGCTGGAAATGACCGGCCCAGGTTCAAAAGAGGAATTTCATAGCTCAGTGAGGACTAGAAGCCAGATCATCCAAGTCCTAGCAACCACTCTCTCATTTTAGGTCTCTTTTCAACCTCACCCTTTTTAAGGCTATTTTGAATCCTATCTGTCAGTTCTTGCTCTACTAACTTCATACTGAGGCTGAATTATAGGGCTGGAAAAGTTTTGCCTCTTTGCCTCAGAATGGGCAATGGGCATCCCAATGGGCAATGAACAGTTGAAAGATCACAGTATGATGCAATTAAGTACCATCAATAAATTTACTGAAAAGCCGCCTTGGCAGGCAGGTTTATTGCAAGTGCAGCATAATAAAGCAAACATCCAGATTTGTAGAATACGAGTGAAAGTGAAATATAAAACAAACTCACCTCTTTCAAGTATAGCCTTTCAAGTGTGAGCTCGGAAGCAGTTACGCCATTTTATCAAGCACTGGGAAAAACATGATAAGGGTCTTTTTTCACCTTGCTGTTTGCACTAATCATGTGACAGGAAAAGATAACACCTAATACATACTTTTTCTTCTTCTGTTTTCCTATCATGGAAAGTTAAACATATCCAAAGAGGGCTTTTGCAAGAACACATTATTCTACTTCAAGTATACACCACAATCTAATCATTTTCCCTTTACTTCCTCAAATGAAATCTTCAATAGCATTGAATAAATATGTTGGTGATCCAGGTTTGGTTTATGTTGCTTTGTTTTACAACATCCACAGCTAGTAAATAGTATGAATTGAACAGGCAATGCATATCTGTATGTTTTCTAAGAATAGTATATTTTCTCAAAGGTGATTTAGTGACTATTTTCAGAATAGAAGAGGATAGTAGCTTTGATGGTGTTAATTCTTTGGGAAAGAAGCTTAATTTGTAGAATGACAACTGAAATACCTATAGCTGTAATGTCATCACATAACTTTAAGATGGTATCTTTGACAATGGCAGACATCTGAATGGAAAAGAAGAAACGTGATATTTGTGTTCTTGGAGGCTTTCATGGCCGGGATCTGATGGTTGCTGTGGGTTTTTTCAGGCTGTTTGGCCATGTTCTGGAACCTCCAGAACACGGCCAAAGAGCCTGAAAATCCCACAACAACCAAACATGGTATTTGTTGGGGAAGTAAGTAACAGAAAGCTATGGGTGAACAACTGCACACATAGCAAGTTCAACTTCCTAAATATCATGGTCAAAGCACTCTTTAAGAGGCTAAAGGCCAGAAACAAAAGCATGAACACAAAGATATCCATGTTAGTCAAATTAGATATTTGTGGTTTGAATGCTGGGTGCATCAACCCAAGATGGTAGGGATAAGCCTGTCCTACCCCCTCTTGGATGACCCACTGGTGAATATTTCATTCCTTTTGACTTAAGGAGTCTCACCTATCCTGCTTCTGTTTTTAAAAAATGGAAACATATAATGTGCAATGCTACTGCCAAGGATTTATCCCCACAAAATGTTTGCATATAATTCTGCATATCCTAATAGCGCTAGACTTTTCATGTCATCCATAATACACAGGTAGTCAGAACCAGCAGGGAAAGATGATGAAGAATGAAAGACTTGGTAATTTTGAAAAGTTATTGGTGGGGGGGAGGAAAGACCAAAGGCAAAAGATTGCAGCAATAGAAACAGGAAGAACAAGTGAGCATAGGTAACTAAGAAAGGAACAAGAGCTCATCAGAAACCAGGGATCACAGTAGTATGAAGCTATCTATGGACAGGCCCTGATTTAAAAAATCCACATGTCCATCAAAAAAGCAAAGTGCTAACCATTAAAACGGGCCAACATGATTTGCAACCCAACAAGCCAAATGAAGACCCTGTCAATGTAGCATAATCTACTACAGCCCAAACCAGGATAACAATATGGATAGCATTCAAAGGTTGTTGGACTTCACATTCAGCAATACCAACTGCCATGACCTGGCATCTTGGATGATGGGAAATGTAGTCCACAAACATCTTGAGGACTGACAGTTTTGTGCCTCAGCCAACCTCGAGTCTCCATGTTTTTCTTGCAACAGCTTGTTCTACTTCTAGTTGATGTGTGAATTCCTAAATATATTTTTATCTCATTGTTTTAAAATTATGGGAGCACTGGTTGTTCTCAGTTGCTGGTTTGTTAATTCTTTAACTACAATTGTGATCGGGTTCAGTTTCAAATTTTGACAACTCATTTTGCACAGGAAATATCACAGGAGATGTCTTAACTTTAACATTATTGCTTACGCAAGGATCAACACTGTTCATCATCAGGTCAAAACAACTTAACTCCAGCAACGAGCCATAACTGTCAGAAGTGAACTCCTGCCCAAAGTTTGTTAAATTCACAGGGGGGCTGGGCCAAACTTCTCCTCGTTGGTAGGTCTCTGGAGGGGTGCGCTCCTCACTGCACAAATGGTGCCACAGCATGGGTGCCGGGCCCAATCTCTCTCAGGTGGAGGAGTATTAAATCTTGAATAAGGTTGTATCACTTGCCGTCCTCTTCCCTGCCCCTTTGGGAATACAACCACCGTCCACTCCAAAGTTTCATATTTAGTGTCTCTTGCCTCTTTAAGTGGGGGATCTGGTAGCAATCCCCCTAACTTTAGGTTTGGGAAATCTCTTAATAACTCCTGTGTTTTCACTCTCTTGTACTCCCGCAGTCTCTCCAGCTCTCTTTTACGTTTCCACTTGTCTAGTTCCATCCCAAACCATTGCTCCCCTTGACTACTTATACCCTCCTCCCAAACGGTCAGTTCTTGCTCCTCCCCCTTCTGATTCCTGCCCTCCTCTACTAGACATATTTCTACCTTCCCCTTTCTCTCCGTGCCTTCTCTCTCTCCCTCTCTAGTCTCGTTCTCCCTTGGGTTCCATTCCACATTAATATTCACCTGTTCCAATACTCCCACTTCTCCCTCTGTCTCCCGAGACGGCACACTCTCATTCGGACCTCCTTCACAACAATTCTAACAATCATTCAAGAATTCATTTTGCTTCATTTCGATTATGAACTTTGAGTGGCATATATTGAATGAAATCGTTATTTAGTGTATTAAGTCATAGAGTAGGGCCATTGAATCAATGAAATTTATAGAATTAACTCACCAAATCCCCACTGATTCAATGGGGATTCAACACTAGTTATGACTCACTACACTAAGCAAAAGAATTTCAGCCAGTATCTACAATCAAGTTAGAATCTCATGTGATTAAAATAAACTTCTGTTCTTGGACAAAATTTTCAATGGGACGGTCTTAGGAACATCCAGATACAGATGTTGCTCCTGCAACTATTGATATGTTTTCCTCAGGGAAAAGTATAGGACACTTTCCTTTTATAGCTCGAATTGTTCTCTACTGCTTCAGGATTTCAACACTGATGAGACCTACTGAGCAATGTATCCTGCTACCTGGCTTTTGCTCCTTTTGCAAGGTAAGTCCCTTCCCAGGCTTTGCCAAATGATCAATGGGCTCCATCTAATCTAGATAAAGACACTGGGTTGTTAATGCATAGTGAATACTGTACCATAATAAACCAGAAATACTTTATCTGTCCCACTGGACTCCATGGGCTCTAGCAGCATGGAAACAGGCATCATGTGTACAAAGGTTGGAAAACAGGAGGATTCGATACTGAAGTACTGAAACAAAGGTTCATGTGGATCTTGCTCTCAAATGAGAAGGCTTCTAACTCAGATTTTGACAAATTCAGGGATAGGTTTTCCTTCTGAGTCACTCCCTGCAGCGAATGGAACCTTCACATTCAGGAGCATTGCAACAATGCGAAAAGGTACATCATCCTCTGGGTGGTCAGATGCAAAAGGAGTAAAAAAAGCAGGGCTCCTAACAGTGTGTAGAAGAGGAAATGTCAACCAACTTGAAAAGCCACATCAACTGGAAGCCCCTCCTCATGCTTAAGGTAGAAGAGCTCTCTGTCCTCTGTTGCATTGGCCCCTGGATACTGTAAGACTCCTTGGCCAACCACGGTTGAAACCTACACCTGTGAGGACCGGGATTCGTGAGAGGCGCGCGAAGACGCGGCCTGACCCACGTGACAGAGGGAAGAGAGGAAAGAGACAAACAGGTGAGGGGGGTGGAAATAAGAGAGCGGAGGCGGGAGTAACGGGAATTTGGCAAGCTAGGGTCCGCGTCTCGCGCTTGGCAGCAGCTCTCGCGAGGTTTCGGCCCGCCGCAGCGAGCGCCTTGCCTCAGCGCCAGGGTCCTGTCCTGTCAGTCTGCGTAGGCTGCGCTATGGCAGCGCTGAGAGGGCTCCTCGGGTGGCGACGCTGCCGTCGTCTTCCCGGC